ATGCTCATGGGGGCCCCTGCAGGGCCCGGGGCCTGGGGCAAATTGCCCCACTTGCCCCCCCACCCCCCCCCACCCCGGCAGCCCTGGAATCAGCAGCATTGTTTGAGGCAAACCCAGGCCAGCTCCACCTACTTTCAGGGCAGTTCTACATACATTGCACAGATCTGCATCCAACTTCCCCTGCTTAATTACCTGACTTGGAAATTCCTCTGCTTGGTCTCCCACAGGTAGGGAGGAGTTTGAAGCCAGTTGAAGGTCACTAGGGCAGCTACAGTACTTCAGAGTCATCTAAGCATGTCCCCCTCTCCTGCCATTAAAAATTGCAAACACGAGTAAGCAATTTGGATTTAAGACCTTAAACATGGCCTGCGCATAGTCCCAGGCAGGAAGGTGGCTTTGCTGCATTCAGAAACAGTTGGCTGAGAAATAAAGTTTTGGGTGAGTGAAGCCTGTGTAGGGCTTGGGGGTAGCATGCGTGATGTGTATTGCAGGTTTCAGAGCTGGTCCAGGGAACATGTTGGATGGTGGTGGGGAGGATATGAGGGTTATGTAGACGATTGGGGGTTATGCAGGGGAGAGGCCAGAGGGAGTAGGGAGGGGATGAGATAGCTATAAAGTGGAGGTGCAAGGTGGTGGTATATCATCAGCTGGAGAGCAGGAGGGTCTCTGGGTTGAGAGTGGGGTTGCACAATTGCGGTGGTGAGGAACGATGGTTAAGGTGCTTGAGTGGAACTCAGGTGCTCTGGGTTCAGTCCCCCACCCCACCTCTGACACAGACTCTCTGTGTGACCTTGGCCAAGTGACCTGAGGCTGGATTTCCATAAGTACCCAACTCCACTTTAGGCCCTGAACCATGGGCCAGATTATCCAGCAGCTCCTGTAGAGACACTTCTGGGCAGATTGTCTCTGGAAAATCTGGCTGCTTCATTTGGTGCATAAATGGGAGCAGAACTTGCGGGGTCTCAGGTCCCCATCTGTGAAAGAGGAGCACAAATCTGTTTCCTTTATTTAGCTTGCAAGGTGTTCAGGACAGGGACTGTCTCTTACTGTGTGTGTGCAGCACTGAGCACACCTGTGGACCCGAATCTCTACCTTGCAGCATCATTGTAACCTGGGCATAGTGAGTGCATGACACTGTTCTGAGTCAGCAGCGTTTTACACTCACTTTGCACCAGTGAAAATGCCCGGGCAGGGTGCAAAGCAGTGAAGTGCATTTGTGTGGGAGTGGGGTTATGGAGCTGACAGGAGCTTCTGTGCATGGGGGGAGTGGCATTTTCTAGCCTGCTGAAGAGCATGTGGGAAGTGTGTTTAGAAAGCGGAGTAGAGCAGCGATTTGCTGCCAAGAATTTAATTAGAGGCTCTCACAGAAAGGTTCCCCCCCTTGTCTTCAATCAACCCCACGTGCTAGGGGCGTGTGAGCTCTCAGAGGAGAGGGCGAGGGCCTTGTTTGCTTTCCCCTTTTAAACCAAACCACTCTCTCATAGCCCCAGGGAAGTGGGTATGATCAGTTGGCAAACAAACTTCACTGAGTGCACTTACTGGAAATGTTTATATTTGGGTCCTGAAAAGTGGGCTGTTTACTGAGACTCCAGCCCAGTGTTTAACTTGTTTATCGGAGATGGTGTGCGCATGGGGATCATAGAATCATAGAAGATTAGGGTTGGAAGGGACCTCACAAGGTCATCTAGTCCAACCCCCTGTTCAAAGCAGGATCAACACCAACTAAATCATCCCAGCCAGGGCTTTGTGGAGGTGTATAGAACTGCCCAGTTCCGTGGTCTTTCCTATTATCCTTTTCTGACACAGGAGAAAGAGGGCTGGTCTCAACACAGTTTTTGTCCCACTATAACTATTTCAGTTAGCGGAGTGATTTTTGTTACAGATATACAGTGTGGACAGTTCTACTGGTATAAGGGTGTCTGATCCTGGTATAGTTTATTCCCCTTCCTCTATAGGAATAAACTACACTGATGCCAGGCTCCAGTATACAGCTATAGCTGTCCATGCAAGGGGATCTGTACTGATATCACTATACTGGGATGGTTCAAGCACTACAGCTCTTTTATGGAGCAGGGCCGGCTCCAGGCACCAGCTTCTCAAGCAGGTGCTTGGGGCGGCCGTTCCGGACAGGGGCGGCAGTTCTAGGTATTCGGCGGCAATTCGGCGGACGGTCCCTCACTCCGCCTGGGAGTGAAGGACCTCCCGCCGAATTGCCGCCGCAGATCGCGATCGCGTCTTTTTTTAGATCGCGATCACG